TATGGTGCCTGAAGTCAGTATTAGCTCCACATTGGGTGTGGGTCCTTTAGAGTGTGTGTGACAAAGTCGAGGTGCAAAAACGTTGTGTTTAGTGAAAGTTCTGGAAAGATAGAAGCAATATGACGCCGGTGAAAGCATCGCAAAGTTTGCCACAAAATGCCAGGCGTCTCCACCCTGTCAGCGAAGCGGCCGGCAAATGGAGGCACCCTAGTGTTACCAGCGCGCCGATAAAACTAACTGTTGCTGCCCCATGCCAATACGGGCCCCGCGCCGAGTAAAACGGATGTGTTGGCACGCGCTCGGAGGCTTCTGCTCGTCTCGCCTCTGACCAACATGCCGTCACCTCCATCATCCACATCGTCGGCGGTGCTTCTGCTCGTCTCACCAATGACAAACATGGCATCGCTTCTAGCATTTACATCATCGGCGGTGCTTCTGCTCGTCTCGCCGACGACGAACATGGCGCCGCCTCTAGCATTCACATCATCGGCGGTGCTTCTGCTCGTCTCACCACCGACGAACATGGCGCCGCCTCTAGCATTCAGATCATCGGTGGTGCTTCTGCTCGTCTTGACGCCGACGAACATGGCGCCACCTCTAGCATCGACATCATCCGTGGTGCTTCTGCTCGTCTTGACGCCGACGAACATGGCGCCGCCGCTGGCATTCGTATCATCGGCAGTGCTGCTGCTCGTCTCGCCGACGACGAACATGGCGCCGCCTCTAGCATTCACATCATCGGCGGTGCTTCTGCTCGTCTCGCCGACGACGAACATGGCGCCGCCTCTAGCATTCACATCATCGGCGGTGCTTCTGTTCGTCTTGACGCCGACGAACATGGCGCCGCCTCTAGCATTCTCATCATCGACGGTGCTTTTGCTCGTCTTGACACCGACAAACATGGCGCCGCCTCTAGCATCCACATCATTGGTGGTGCTTCTACTCGTCTTGTAGCCGACGAACATGGCGCCGCCTCTAGCATTCACATCATCGGCGGTGCTTCTGTTCGTCTTGACGCCGACGAACATGGCGCCGCCTCTAGCATTCTCATCATCGACGGTGCTTTTGCTCGTCTTGACACCGACAAACATGGCGCCGCCTCTAGCATCCACATCATTGGTGGTGCTTCTACTCGTCTTGTAGCCGACGAACATGGCGCCGCCTCTAGCATTCACATCATCGGCGGTGCTTCTGTTCGTCTTGACGCCGACGAACATGGCGCCGCCTCTAGCATTCTCATCATCGACGGTGCTTTTGCTCGTCTTGACACCGACAAACATGGCGCCGCCTCTAGCATCCACATCATTGGTGGTGCTTCTACTCGTCTTGTAGCCGACGAACATGGCGCCGCCTCTAGCATTCACATCATCGGCGGTGCTTCTGTTCGTCTTGACGCCGACGAACATGGCGCCGCCTCTAGCATTCTCATCATCGACGGTGCTTTTGCTCGTCTTGACACCGACAAACATGGCGCCGCCTCTAGCATCCACATCATTGGTGGTGCTTCTGCTCGTCTTGTAGCCGACGAACATGGCGCCGCCTCTAGCATCCACATCATCGGCGGTACTTCTGCTCGTCTTGACGCCGACGAACATGGCGCCGCCTCTAGCATTCACATCATCGGCGGTGCTTCTGCTTTAGGCCGCTTTATCTTGCAGCGTGGTCCAAATGTAGCAACGGCATATCTTGGGGGCGATGAGAAGTCATCAGTCCGAACTCGTCGTTCTGTCACGCGGAGAAATGACATCACACACCAGACGCAAACCACACGCTGAACGTGGAAACGAACTTGAATACCCCTGCGCCTATGTGTAGTGAGAATATGAAGGCTCTTCAGAGTTTCTGATGTTCCGTGCAACGAAAAGTTTAATCAAATAATAAATTGCATCGGATACCACATCGACATGCAAAGGAGAAAGCAAGACGGACTTCATCGCATCTGTGAGCGACCATCGCGACGGGTGTCTCGATGGACGGAAATTTCAGTGAGAGAAACTTCGCCAAAAATAGGGAAATTTTAGGCGTCCAATGAAGAAAGGAGAAACATGGAATGCCCGTCACGTCTGTGCTACCTGCAGTCGCCCTCTATCCGGAGGCCCTATTCCTAAATGTCTGTTGTCTCCTCAAGATCCTAGCGACTCTGTGCGTAACAACGGAGGAAGCTGAGCGCTCGTTCTCTTCACCGCGACGGTTGAAAACATACCTGAGAGCGTCCACTTCGAGTGAGCGACTGCTCGGTCTAGAGCTTTTGAATGTTCAGCGCGACATTGAAGTTCAAGCGGTGGAGATCCTGGATATTCGTTGCCGTGAATGCAGGCGGCTGCATTATAATATGTGGGCGCTTAGCATAAATGGAATGATCAAGAGAGCATGTAAATTGCTTCCTGAAATAACTAGTCACAATTACCTTTTTATTCACGGTAATCTCTAGTCGAAAGCATGTAATTCTGATCAATACAAAAGGTGTGCGTGAGCGCAGCGCTACCCGTTGCTTACAGTGCAGTTGTTTTTACAATTATTTAATATCCTTTACATCGCTGACATTGTTTTATATTATCACCATGTGTGCGTTTTATAATGTCCACTTTAGTTTGATTTAACGATGTATTTCAGTGAGGATAGTTTGTTATACTATGCCTTGAAATTGCCACCCTTAACCTCACAAGTGTTTCGAAATATCCGTTCTGTGCACATCTGATATCAAGTTCCGCTATCCATCAAATAAGCATGACAGGAGAAATATTGACTATATGTTATTTATTTGAGCATTTTCTACCTCACAAACATTCCTCCCGAAAGCATATAATTTGGAGGTAGCCCGCGCTCCCCCTTTGCTCCGTGCCCCGTGCAAGACCGACTGCGTGAGCAGGGTAGCGAGCAAGCCGGGGGGGGGTTGGTTCCGACCCCCAAACCCCCCCTCTGCCTACGCCACTGAGTGGAGGCTATACTTGTATGCTGCTATAGTGATGGCGCGGCGCTGGATCCTCGCTGCCATGAGCAAAAAAATCTTCTTGTCCAAGCTGAAGATGCCTAACGGTGGCTGATGATCGGTATAAAGCGCGAATTCTCGGCCGTACAGGTAACTGTGAAAGTGACTGAGGCCAAAAATTATCGCCAGTGCCTCCTTTTCGCCGTGAGCGTAGTCGCGCTCTGCTCCGGTGAGAGTTTGCGAAGCAAAGGCAATAGGTTTCTCCAAACCGCCTGGCGTGACATGGAAAATCACTGCGCCGATGCCACACGCTGACGAGTTGCAGCCGAGTGTAACAGGCTTGCTGGCATCGTAGTACGTGAGCACCCTACTATCCATGAGACGCTGCTTGGCTTTCGTGAACGCTTGGGAGCATTCTTCCGTCCACATCCACCTCTTGTCCATCTTGAATGAGTCGTACAATTGGGCAGCGACTGTAGCCAGGTCCTCTATGATCTTTGCATAGAAGTTAATCAGCCCTAGTTCGGTCACATTGCTCGGCTGGGGCGCCTGCACGATTGCTTTCATTTTTGTCTCTGTCGTATAAATACCGTCCGCTGCTGCTTTATGTCCAGGGTAGACAACCAAGTTCTCAAAGAACTGGCATTTCTGTTCTTTCGGCATGATGTTGTAGCGTGCCAGCCACTCCGAAACACTTTCCACAGTTTTTTCACACTTTTCGACGTCTTTGCCTACGATGATCACGTTGTCAATATGGCTGCCCACTTTCGGGGTGCCTTTTGGAACTTCATCCATTAGAGACTGGAAGATCACCGGAGCGTTTGAAAGTCCGAACAAAAGCCTCTGAAGCTGGCACAGTCCAAGGTGTGCATTCACTTTCAAGAATGGTTTTGAGTCCTCGATGAGCGGTACTTGTTGCTAGGCCTGTGACAAATCGAGTATGTAGAAAGCCTTTCCGCCTGCTAGCATGGAGTACAGGTCCTCTGGCAAAGGCAGGGGATAGTTGTCTGTCTTGAGAACAGGATTAATGGTAATCTTGTAAGAATCGCAATTTGAAATTTTCAAAGCAATTGGTAATTTTCAAAGCGTTCCAAGTACAAACGTATGTTGTCCACCTTAGGGTTGAACTCCGTCATGGTTCCTAACCTCTGCCCGTGGCTAGCTTGAGACATGGTGAACATACGTCACTTATCTGGGATGCCGCTGTCTTGCCTCTTCCTCGTTGTTCTTAAGCTTGTAGCTCCGCCTCGTCGTTGGTAGATCCCGCAGCTCCGACGATTATTCCGGTGTCATTCTGCGGTGACACCTGTCGGCGCTCCCTTAAATGCTGCTAGTCACCAAGGGCTTCGTGACGCCTTGGCCGCTGTCTTGTCCGTTGCACGCATTGCCGTTATCGTCTGCGGTGGTTACCTTTTTAGTCGGTTATCAAGTGTGTCACTGTCCCATCCTATGCTCGTCGCCAGATGTTCTATTTTAATCGAATGAACACGTCGGTGCTGAGGATGCAAAAGCAAATCTTCATGGCCAGGCATTCTCTTCTTTGGGAATGTTCTCTGGCGATTGCTCACGGAATCACTACGTAACAATGTGTATACAGTTTCTCCCTGCTAACGCATCACATTCGGTTCATTGGAAAACATGTTAACTAGATTCTTACCGAAGCTCACGTTTCTAGTGCTGCAAATTTTCTTTCGGTGTGTCTCCTTCCGGTTGCCAGAAGTTCTTCCTTTGGATGCAAATGGTCCATTGGCTCTTAGGTAAATTCAGAAAACAGATGGAGTGTCCCATTTTGGCCACGATTCTGTTCCTGTCCCTATAGTCCGTCGCAACTTAAAAAGGTAGGTCGAGGGAAAGGAAGACTGGGGAGGAGGAAGCAGACGGAATGCTGGAGAGGAGAGGGGGAAACATCCTCTTCTCTCCAGCGTTCTACCTGCTTCCTCCTCCCCGGTCTTCCTTTTCCTCGCCCTACCTTCTTGAGTTGCACCGGACTATAGACGAGGCGCGGAAGGCGTTGAGATTCTGGGTCCCCGGTAGAAACGGACCCCTCACCCGAGCACCCCCTCTATTGCAGACTCGTTCAACGTGAGTTCGTTGCCCACGGTGGTGCAGGCGCCACCCGCGGCAGCGTCCCCCTCCTCTCCCCCTGAGGAGCCTCACGGGCCAAGCCCCGCCGCCCCCGCCGGCCACGCGACACCCAAGCCACACCAGCAGCAGCAGCAGCAGCCCCACTTCTTCGTCACCAGCTGCCAGGTGAGTGTGTGCCACTGCCTAGCTTATCCTTCGCCTTCCTTGTTTCTAGCCTCGGTTGGTCCAAAAGATGGCAGGCAGCTCCCAAGTATGACCATGGGTCTGGTTGGATCGCGGGAACCTTTTCTTCCACTTTGTGCCCGTCGAGGTTGCTCCAGCATGCTTGTCTGTTACATTATTGCCCCGTGCGAACGGGTCGTTCAAGCAACGGCTTCTTTTCGCTTGTAGAGGCTGCCAGTCTGCCCGACAGCAGTCTGTTGCGCACATTAGGCATTGCACAAAACAAATTGTTTATGAACTGGCGCTCAAGCTGCCGGTTGGCCACTGTAACGTTTCGGCCGGGATGGCCGGAGTGACGACACCTTCGTTCTGGCAGGCGACATTATTTCAGTCCCATCTCGAGCAAAAAGCGCTCCCACGGCTGGTGGAGTGGCATTTTATCGAGTTCGCACCGAAAACTGGGCATGCGCTTCGTCCCACTTATCATGCCGATAAGATACGTTACAACTTCTACCCCCTTCGAGGGCAGAGCCTCGGAATAATGGCAACCAAGAAACAGTTCTCGCAATGACTGCGGTGTCCCAGGTTAGAAGTGTTCATGAAGGGTGCTGCACGAGCCGTCAGCTGCACACTTCAGCACAGGCGACTCCTGGAACCTTGACCGACTTGTCCAGGGCAGGCGACGAAGCCTCGAAGCCAAGGGACTTTTCTCCAGGGAAGGCTGTTGGAAAAACCGCAAGGTGCAGAAGCTCTCGACGACTTGGACCCAGTTGCTCCTTCTGACATTGGTCCACGGGTCCAGGGCTGTCTTCAGTAAGAGTCCAAGTCAAGGGACAGCAGTTCAGGGGGAAGATGACAGTAGAGCCACCGGGCGCTCCTGAAGCCGAGGTCGTCGACTGCGAGTAAGCTAGACAGTTGAACGAACGACAGCCGGAAAACCCGGGCGACGGCCAGGAGACGCCAAATCGAGATTCCAAGTTGTCGAGTGAAAAAACACTGCACCAACCATAATACCGCACTGCCACAATTTATTTAGTTTCCCGACTTGGGATTAACCCCATCCCGAAGGTGTGTTAGTCTACCCCCCAAAAGTGTTTCTTATTTACAATTCTTATATAAAAGTCAAGTGACAAACTTATTTACAGAGGAAGAAAAGAAATGAAATGTATTTAGACCGCTCTGCTCAAACTGTCAGCGTTTGAGTGGAGCTTTCTTTTCTTGTGTTTCACTTGAAAAGAATAGGATTGTAATGTCAGGCTCCAACGCAAGAGTCTACCATTTTTGGGAGCCATCTGACTCAGCCAAGTTAGTGGTTTATGATCGGTGACAAAAACAAATTCTGCACCGTCAAGGTAACATTTCAGCTTCTCTACAGCCCACACCATGCAGGCAGATTCTTTCTCTACCGTGCTGTATGTCTGTTCCCGTGTCGTCAGCTTCCGGCTAGCGAACAGAATTGGGTGTTCGTCCCCCTTGCTATCAATTTGGCTCAGCACGACGCCCAACCCCCTTTCGCTTGCATCGCACTGTACCAAGACAGTCTCGAAAAGTCGGGACTGGGCAGCACAGGAGGGCTAATTAACGCCTTTCAATTTCTCAAAGGCTTTGTGCCGTATCTCGTCCCATACAATCCGGGCAGGCTCTTTCTTTTTGAGAGCATCTTTTAACGGACTAGCTAACTCGGAAAACTGAGGGATGTACTGCTTATAGTAATCTACTAAACCAATGAAAGACATTAAGTCTTTCTTTGTGTCCGGTAAAGGAAACTCATGGCTGGCCAAGAGTTTCAGCTCTTGCGGACGCCTCTTTCCTTGACCAACCACGTGGCCCAAGTAGCTCACCTCGGAACGCGCCAACTTGCACTTTCTCACCTTCACTGTCAAACCCGCGCTTCGCATTCGAGAAAGGACGTCGCGCAAATGCTGTTTATGATCTTCCCAATTGTTTGAAAAAACTACAATGTCATCAAGGTACGATAGCGCAAACGTTTCTGCCCCCGAAAGCACCTTGTTCATAAGACGGAAAAAAATGAACGGAGCGTTTTTAAACCGAAGCTAAGCACAAGCGGTCTGTATGTTCCGAACGGGGTTACAAAAGCAGCGATGTCGCTAGCCCTGTTTGTTAGCGGAACCTGCCAATAGCCGCAAACAAGGTCAAAAGTAGAAATGTACTTTGCCGAGCTGACTCTCTCGATGCAGGCTTCCATGTTCGGAATAGGGAACACCTTAGTGACCGTTACAAAATTTAGCTGTCTGTAGTCAACACACGGTCTAGGATCCTTCCCCGGGCACTCCACAAGAATCATAGGCGAGGCGTAGTCAGGCTCACACGGCTCAACAAGTCCAAGATCTCGCACTTGCTTGACTGCCTCCCTCTTGAGACATTCCTGTCGAGGCGAGAAACGATACGGCTTACCCGTGGCCGGCAACTCTGAACAGAGTTCTATATTGTAGGTGATCAAATCAGTCCTACCAGGCTCAGTAGAAAATACATCTGAGTAATCAGAGATAATTTTCTCGAGGTCGACGCATTGCTGTTTCGTTATCTGCGCCTGACTAACCGTAATATCCAAAATTTCTTTTACTGTGAAATCATTGCGCAAAGTCACTGGAACAGGAACTTTTGGCGCAACTTTTTTGAGCGCGTTTAGAAGGATGTTCGCGACATGCACTCGTTCGATGTAAGGTTTCATCAGGTTGCAATGGAAGATCCGCACTCCTTTACGGCGACCCGGTAGTCGAACCACGTAGTTAGTGTCTGACAATTTTTGTTCTGCCGCAGCGGGTACTTCCCATTGAAGTTCCAATTTATTTGCTTTCGCAAAACGTAAAAGCGAAACCTTGTCGCCCTCATCGAACGAACGCATGCGACTGTTTTTGTCGTAGTACTTCTTTGCCCGTGCTTGCACCTCCATCATGTTAGCCTTCACTAATCCTTGCGTGTTGTAGAGGCGGTTCAGCAGCGTTAGAATGTACTCTACCACCGTGGGATTTTCGAAGTCCCCCTCCCACCTTTCTCTGAGTAGGCGCAACGGTGAACGCAATGCACGGCCGTACACCAATTCTGCCGGCGAAAACCCGGTTGATTCGTGAACGGCGGAACGAAGGGCGAACAGCATGGCAGGCACTGCCGCAACCCACTCTTTTCCATGCTCGTGGCATAAGGCCCGCAGTATTCGCTTCATAACAGAGTGCACACGTTCCACTCTGTTACTCTGAGGGTGGCTGACAGAAGTGTGGCTAATTTTTACGCCACATTTTTCAAAAAAGCCAGAGGTTAGTGCACTCGTGAAAACGCTTCCCAAGTCGCACTGAATTTCACTGGGAAAACCAACCCTCGAAAAAACAGTGAGTAACGCATCCACGACTTCCGTAGAAGTCTGCTCTCGTAGTGGCACCGCCTCCGGGAACTTACTTGCTGGGCAAAAAAACGTAAGCAAGTATCGATAGCCTAATTTGGTTACCGGAAGAGGTCCCACCACATCAATTACTTGCCTTTTAAAAGGCTCAGTTAAAATAGGGACACAGGTTAAAGGGGCCTTTACCTTCTCGTTTAGTCTTCCCGTTCGCTGACAAATGTCGCACGAACGGACGAACTGCTCAGCTTCTTTGAAGCATCCAGGCCAATAGTACTCAGCTAAAAGCCGCGCTTTAGTTTTCTTGATTCCTAGGTGACAGGACCAGCTTTTAGCGTGAGCAAGCTCCAAGATTTGAGCCCTGTACTTAACTGGGACGAGAAGCTGGTCGTACTCTCGCCAACCTTTGGCAGTGTAACTGCGATAGAGGACCCTATTGTTAAGAAAGAACGACGCTTTCTTTGATGGCATTGAAATCCTCTTTCTGCATTCTTCCAGCGAGTCATCTGCAGCTTGCTCCGATATCAAGGTTATCGTGTCCACCTTTGACAGCTCTTTGAAATTAACGCTTGCAGGGGAAACAAGACTAGGTCCGGCGATCACAGGTTCGCCTTCGACTTCGGCCAGTACAGGAGGGTTTTCAGGCTCTGGAACAACTGACATGTTATCCCTCGTCATTGAGCGGGTCACTACAAGTACCGGATTCATAGCTAACTCTTTTTCAGAGTCACTCAAACTCTTTGCCATTTTGTTAGAAAGAATGTAAGGGCACGTAGGAAGTACGCCATCAGAAACTGCGGCGGTCGTTTCTATTTCCCCAAATGGACCCTTCACCTTGACTTTGGCAACTGGAAGACTGGTAGCCTTACTCACAAGTGCCTGGCGAATCCAAACGCAGTCGCCCGTTAAGTCGCTTGGCTCGACCAGTGAGGAATGAACTAGATCGTGAGTGGCACCTGTGTCCCTCAAAACTTTACAGGACTGGCCGTTCACCATCATGTCATACAGATAGGGTTTTAGAAGCTTGTCTTCTGCTCCCAGTGCCAAATTCATTTTCGAAACCTTCAGAACACGGCATCCCACAGCAAGATGCCCAGGCTGATTGCATCGGTAACACACAATGGGCTTTCGTGCTTCGAAGGCCTTGGTTGATTTCTTATCTGGGCTTTTCTTTTCGATCTCGTCTTGCGCTGCCTCTCCGCCTACGTCGGGCTTTGTAGCTTTGTTTTGCTGGACCGAGCGACAAGCTGAACGATTTTGATTTCGACTAAATGACTTGCTTTCTGCAGCTGCATTTTCGTGCCCGTAGTAGTATTCGTCAGCATAATCAGCGGCCCTTTGTACGGAGACAACGTCTGGTCTGTCCTGAATCCACAATTTCATTCCACTTGGAATGGAATTAAAAAAACTGCTCGAGACCGATATGCTCCAGAATCTTTTCGCGGTCCTCGTACGCGTTAACCACACAAAGCCAGTTCTCTAGGAAACTGCGCAAACGGTACGCAAATTCACTGTAACTTTCCTCGGGACGCTTCGTAGCTTCTCGGAACTTTACTCGGAACGCCTCTGGGGAAAGCCTGAACTTTCTCAAAAGGCTTTCTTTCACTTTGAAGTAATCCTGCGCACTGTCTGGGTCGAGTCGGGCCAC